AGTAAGTAAGCTAGTTAGTAAGTAAGTAAGTAAGTAAGTAAGTAAGCTAGTAAGTAAGTAAGTAAGTAAGTAAGTAAGTAAGTAAGTAAGCTAGTTACAAAAAAAAACCTCCACAAACGTTTTGTTCTCAGTTATTGAAGCAAAAATGAAATTTCCTCATTTTCCTCCTTTGTTTCACTCCTCACCAGAGTTTAAATTTTGGTATCTTCTACAATAAGTTTGTTTCAAGCAAGTAGATCTAAAGATGCTGTTTGGTCGCAGCCATTTTCTTTCTTTTGTTGCCTTCTTTGTAACCAGAAGTCATGAAATGAACTCGTTGTGCTGTAATGTTAATTTTACTGCTCAGCATCAGTTCACTCTGGATACTTACTGCTTCAACATGGTCACTAAGAGGACTGACCCGTGGTTATTCTCTGTTAAATCTGTCATGTGACCTTGTGGCCAGCTGGAGAACTCATCTTTCTTCTCTGTCTTTCAGACCTTCAGCCAGGGTGGGTTCAGCTGCACGCAGATGTACAGCAGCACTTTCGGCGGGGGCTTCAGAGGACCAGGCGGACAGCCCATGGTCAACTACAGTCAGATGCCCCTTGGACCCTACGTCAGCGGTAACGATCAGCACTCGTAATAAATCAAATGTGACATGAGGCAGGAGGGAAACGGAGGTTGTTCAGGTCACTTCCACTCTGAAAGCTGTTTCCACAAACAGAGAAAACCCGTGTAGCAAACACTGCTAATCTAAAGAGTGTCAGAGAAGTGCAAGGAAATAATGTCTCGGTGACATATTTATACTTTTATTTTCAGTATTTGCTGTTGATTTGTTGAATTCAGGAACATTTAAAGCAGGGCTATTCAACTGGCGGCCCATGGGCCACATCAGGCCTGCAGGTGACTTCCATCCGGCCCGCCAATGATGACACACACACACTTGTTTTTATATCCTTGTGGGGCCCGTCCATTGACGTCCATTCATTTTTTGGTAATTTAATATCCTAACCCTGACAACAAACCCTAAGGCTAACCTCACAGGTACAACCTGACCCTAAAACTAACCTAAACTCAATTCACACCTTGGTCCTAAACCCAACCCCCACACCCAAAATCAGCCTCTGAAGTTGTGGGGCCCAGGCTTTGGGCCCCACAAGGAGCACCCGGACCCCACGAGGCTGCTTTTTCCTTAAAACTGGGCCCTGCGATGTAGGAAAAACAAGAACACACACACACACACACACAAAAAGAATTTTTTTTTATTTTTTATTGTTTGTATTTTCTTTTTTAATTTAATATAAAAAACAGATTTCAAATCATTTGTAAATGTAAAAATTGTGTTTCAATGCAAAAATAAATTTAAAAACTAAAACATAATACTTGTTCAGTTACATGCTGCAGTCTTTGTCAATTCAATTCAATTCAAAAATGTATTCATTTCATTAAAAAAGTATTATATACAATAATAAAAAATAAACCAAAAAGATATACAAATCAAAATAAAATGAAAGGTAGCAGAAGAAGAATAAATCTTATTATGTCTGCCCCTTTTCGACCCAGAATATATTCAAACGAAACACAATTTACAAAACAATACTAAATAAGATAAAAAAATAAAATAAAAATAAAAACAACACCTACCATTAATGGGCACCCCCCACCCCCAGGCTGTGGGCTATAAGTAACCCCGTCCCCTGGAGCAGTCCAGTTGAATAGCCCTGATCTAAGGTGAAATTAGAAGTTTAAGGTGATAAAAATGAGTTGTTTTCATCTTTCAGTGTCCTCCAACGCCCCCCTGACCCCTACAAGCCATCTGGACAAGAAATCACTTGACTCTTTGAGAGACGTGGCTACGCCCGAACTCAAATCGGGCAAATCTAGCGATGTCATCTGTATCGAGGACTAGACCAGCTCTGTCTCGATGACCTGAGGTCAGAAACTCCCAGGGATGGAATCTGTATGAATGACTGCTGCCCTTGTCTTACTCCACATCCTTCTCTCTCCTCCTCCCTTCCTCATAATTCCCATCGAAGCTCTCTGCGGCGAGTGGTTGAGACGATTTTCATTCTCTCAGATGTATCGATCTTAAAAGTTGCACTTTTATCTTTTAAAAGTCCTATAGAAGYACTTCAGTAGGCGTTTGTTTTGTTTGTAACGCACAGCTGCAGTTCAGGAGGGAAAACGGGGAAGCTTTTTTTTTTTAAAGGACTTTATGAGGCCTGCACTACAAACCAAAACTCAATCAAGTCGAGTTTTGGATGCTCTTCATTTGGGGGCTCGTTTTAATCTTGTAATATAAGCTTTTTTTCTGCAAGCTGCAACTTTATAAGTCTCTGTGYGTTATTTTTGCTTTGATCTATTCTCCAACAGCCCCTTTACACTGTGACTGTGCTGCTCTGGACTCTTACAGAAGAGGAGAAATTCAGTCGTAGTTTGATATGTTTTGACTGTTTCTGACGGCCGTTGTGTTTAAAATTTTGTTATTATGTGTTGTAAGCGGCGGATCGAATATTGCTTTTAAAGCATCAGAAACTGTACATCCTTTTAGCAGAGCAGTCTGTGTGACTTTAAGACTGCCACCTGCTGGTAACTTGGAGAAAGTGAAACTGCAGCATCTTTAAAGGCTGGCCTCCTGTACAGTAAATAATCAGAAACTGCGGTTTATTTTCCATGATGATGAAAATACGTTCACGAACACCTTCAGGGATGACGTCACATCCCCGGCTCGTGGACGAATCATCGAGCAGAGCAGGAAAATCTTTTGGAGTGAGCGGAGCGTCAATAATGCATTTTTAGAGACAGCGCARTATTTTTTTGTGCCACGGTACAATAATTCTCTTCATCTGAATGTTAGTATTAACTTAGCCGTGGAGCCTCACCTCGGGGCCATAAACAGGGCCACGTCTGGCCCTCAGCGAACTGAGACTCATCATCGAATGGATGCATTTTTTTTTCTTTTATGTCCAGGAATTTTTCCCACTTCCTGTTTAGTTGTTCCAGAACGATATAATGTGATGCCATGGCACATTCAGCTTACAAGTTTTATTTTTTTTATTATTCTCTCAGTATATAGTTTAATTTTGATGCCAGTATAAAAGATGAATGATTCGTTCCTTGATGCAGTGTTTTTTTTCTCTGGTGGTGCCATGATCTAAACCTACCTGGAGTTGCACAACATTAGTCTGAGACGTTCACACCTGTTTTACATTTGTTTAGTTCACCTTTTTTTTAATTGAATTTAAATTCATGTTGAAGTATTTTTGTTCTCATTTACCATTTAAGTGATTTTAATAAGATTTTCTAGAGCAAAAAAATGTAAAGAACAGAATGCAATGATCTGCAACAAGTTCAAAACCACTAAAATTGTATAAAAGCAAAATATAAGAACTGGTTCAAAATGAGATTTTCTGTAATTTCACAAGACTTGTAGTGTTGAAATGGAGGAAAGCAGTAATTTTCTGTGCTTTYATTAAGGGTTGGCCAGTTTAGCTCTCTGTGTTGTAACATGTGGGATGTAGCTTGCTGAAATAAGCAAGGCCCTTCCCTGGAAAAAAAAAAAGCAGCTTTTATTTGTCAGCACTTGTTTCTCCGAAACCTGTTATTCAGCTTTGATCGTGCCTTTTTGAATGTGTACATGAATGCACACCCAGACTCTTGCAAATGCTGGCAGAACTGTGTGTGCTGATGACACGCTGAGGGATTTTTACGTTCAGAATGAAGGATCGATTAATAAAAAAAGAAAAAAGATACCATTTTCACATGGTAGAGTTTTAAGTTTTAGTCATAGATCGTGTTTTTAATTCTGGGTCTGGTGACGTCTTGAAATTTGCAACCATCCTTTGTTGGTTGTCGTTCTATGTTCCGTTTTTTTTTTTTTTGTCCTGGACTCTGAATATTTTTACGACACAATGCTTCATAGATGATAAAAAATCAACACAGTTGTAGAGATTTTTACATTGTGAGATATTTAATTGTTGATTTATTTAATCACGACATCACCTATTAAACATTTCCAGAACGTTTGTTGTAGATCTCGACTGAGACGTGCTTCTGTGGCCAAGGTGATCTTTAGAAATCAGGGCAGCTGTCTGATATACAACAAGCTTTATATTTATTAAAGTATAATAGTTGTCTAATTTGACTACATGCATATCTACTAAGCCTTTAAGAGAGGGGCATTCTTGTTAAAAAAAAACTAAATTGTGGACTACAGTATGTAGGCTGTTTGCACAGAAATGGCAGATTCCAGTGTCCAGTATCAGGTTTATCTCTATGATGCATGAAAACTTGATCATGTTCTTGTCCATATATTTAGTTTAAGGCGTTAATTTGACCATATAATAGTGCCACATGCTGTTTACGATACTCTAAATGAACATTGGATTTAACTGCAAATCATTGCTTTCTGTTTCGACTTTTTAAAGCAGACTTTAAATGTGTGTGAAGGCAGTGTCAGACTCAAAGTGCCAGTTTTTAACAAATATGTTCCCCCCACCAAAACAAACTCATTTGTGTCACTTCTGCTTACATAATGTGTGGGATTGCAGCCGCAGTGGACTTTTAAAGGGATTCCTGATTGGTTGTAACCTTAGACTTTATTTGATAAACGTATTTTAACTGTAAAATAAAGACTGTAAAAATACTGTAGGCTGTTTAATTTTGTAAATTTTAAAAAATATATATTTTAACACGGACGGAGCCATTTTATTTACACACAAAGCATTCTGGGTAAATGGTGACGT